TAACTTGCAAACCCTGTGAACTAGTTTCAACCAATTTCAACACAGTAGCAGAGTTCTCACAAATACTGAGTCTAAAAGTTTCATGAAAATAGGTGACTTGCTTTCCAAATGGTATGGCTGCCCCATGGCTGTAGTTTGCTTCCACTCGCATTGCATTTGTTCACTTCCTTGCTACTGCTGTCTTGGGATGGAGGCAGTCAGGACAAAGTAAGAAGTGAGCCCAAATTGAAGGCAATGGTCTAGAAAGCAAAAGGTGCAGCTAGCAATCAAAAATGTGCACACACACTTCTCAGTCCATGGCTTCCATCCACTTTGCTTCTATAATCTCCCCTGACAGACCTGACATCACACACAATGCAATCATTGGCAGAGAAGGTACACCACAGATGCAGCAATGTGTTAGCAAAGGGACTGATGAAGGAACAACAGATGAAAAAAAAACCCTCTTACTTGTTGGCATTAAAAAATATGGTTCTCAGGAAATTTAGGGGCTTTATATAGCATAAATTTGGCTGAACACATGCAGGTCACTTTAACAGTTAACCGGATCTGTAGACACTTTTGGTTTATCCCACTCCGCTCGAAACCAGACATTTAATGAAATCTTCCAGCTATGCAATGAAGTCATATTTTACTGTCCTGTGTGATGATTTGGCTTCTCTGAATTAAGATCCCACACAAATACCCACTAAGTAAACATAGATGCTTTTAATTGCTAAAATAATATCTAGCCTTGTTGTTTCTCGAAAAGAGGCTAAATTAATACACAAATTTTTATAAACAGGAGCATATCACACTTATTCCAGCCAAAACCATGATTGCTCATCGGGGCAAGACACATGTTTGCAGAAAGAGAATTAGATTTTACAAGAGTCACATTTCTTTGTTTCCATCATTATGTTTATTCCCCTTTAAATACATACGCCAAAATTGGACTTTAAAAAAGGTGATGCTAGGTGATAAGTAAAGTAAGTAAACAGCACTGTCCATACTTTCATTGTTCTTTTTTACTGTATTTCAATCTTGTTTTTAAGGCTGGTAGACTCCTGACAGCCTTATGTTAGTCAGCATGGCTCAGACAGGAAAATCAGTCTACCATGGATTCCTGACTCTATGTACACAGACAGAGGTGAAGAAATAATCTATTATCACACAGGCATAAACCTGACTTTTTGGACTGCATCTGAATACACACCGCCAGGGCTCTGACATGGCTTTTTTCTCACCCTATATTCCCAAAGAAGTTGTCTGCATCCCTACTGACACAGAGTGTCTACAGACAAATGCTGGTACATAAAGCGAAACTACAGCTCACATATCAATCTTAGATCCAATAATGCTGTGGCTTTTTGTGAAGGTTCAAAACAATCCTTGCAAGCACCTGCTGTGGTGCAACTGTCAGTGCCTACATTTTAGCTATTTTGTTCTTTGTATTACGCGTGAGACAGAGGTGCATCCAGAGATATTCTCTGTGTCCATTGCAGCTTTCTGAGCTTCTGCTGAAGTACTAAACATTTTGGAGAATGCCGAGTGCACTCAGTTTCCGTTTACCTCAACAACATGCGAAGCACCTGGCAGCATCCAGCCTCAAAGCTAATTTCTGGCTCGTCTTGGCAAGTTTGCATCTAAACTTTACAACTAAGGCCTAGACTCACATGAAATTAATGCTCCTCCTTCACTGGTATAAACTTCAAGTAAAATCTGAGTTGAGAAAAAAACCTTGCAGCAGAATAAATCTCTGACATTTTATGGTTAAAAGAACTGAGAAGTGCAATTTGAAATTGCTCCTTATGTAACAAGAGCCTGAGAACTGCACTAATATTTAATTGAGGGAAAAGTAACTGAAGGAGAATTGCTTGGAGATCTGCCAGAAGGATTTTAACAGCTGGAAGTTGAAAAGTGATTAATTTTGACAGCAATAAACACTCCATGTTCATAAGCAATTATGTTTAGGTTTCCGAGCTGCTTGAATTCTTTTCTATGTACTATTAACATTTTATTATCCAGATAGGATTTTGGATTATCGTCATTTAGAAAATTTATGAAAACCCACTTTTTCCCTAGCACATACCTGCTTATCTTGGGAAAAGTGAATGCATACTGGAATTAATAACTCATAAGAACTGGACTCAGTGAAAAGTGACCACATTTACACAATCTTTTAAGAGAAGACAAGGGACAACTGCTAGGGCAAGCCCAAGAAAAGAGAGAAACACATCTTTTTTCTCCAACAAATTCAAGAGCCTGTGATATGCCTGATAACTATTTTTATGATCTCTCCTGACATATGGCAATGGCTACCAAACCCATAGCTGTTACAAAACATAGTCTCCTTTGAACAGATACAGGCATAACCCTGACTACATCAAGAGAGAGAACAAGGGCATTAAGGGTAAGCTGAAGTAATTTCTTGACTGTACCACACAATTAGACACAGCAATGGAGTGGTCAAAGTGAAGTACATTGGCTGGACATCATAACTTTGTGCTGGATCTTGAAGATGCAATGAGATAGATATCTGATATAAGACATGAGGAATGAGACATCTAAACAGATTAAGCTTAGGAATTATCAGCTGAGGGCATGGAATCCTCAGCCATGAAACACTTTGCAGATATTAGCGTGTGAAGATGCAGTATAGTCCTAGCCATACACAATATTTGACTAGTAAGCAAAGCCTCCCTGGACATGCTCTGCCTTAAGCAAAATCCGGTACAAACTTGCAGCCAGCTGGGAAGAGTGGCCAGCTCCTTTACCTGCAGATAGATGAAGGCATTCAGCTCTCCAGTTGTAGATGACCATCTTTGGGAATCCATCCTTGAAAAAAAGTCCAAGGACTACTGATACCCCAAGTGGAAGAAAAGACCAAAATCAGTTCTGCCCTCCTGTGTCTGAAAGAACTCATACAAATGGCTGAAAATAAGAGAATCCAGAGGAAACATATAAAATGACCTCCCTTAGGGAAGAACATGGCTGGAATTTTTTTTTCTTGCAAGTATTATGGTTACAGCTGTAAGAAAACTCTTCACAATTAACAGCAAAGGAAGACTGTTTGCTGCAACAGGGAGTTCTGAGGTACTGCCAGTTCTGGCACACGAACCTCTGAGGAGCTCACAATGAAACACAATCTCCTTAACCGGCACGTATTGTCTATGAGAGACAAAAGCAACAGGCTCAAATTGCAGCCGATTTCATGGGGCACACCCTGTACTGATAAGGCAAACATCAACCCTCACATCTGCCACCGGTGGAGCCTCACCCCTGAACAGAGCAAGTGGTGGTGCAGCCCCCTGTGTAGCCCCCTGTGCAGGCTGGGGAGGACAAGAGCAAGGAATACAAGGTGCGGGGAGCTCTGCTGGCATAGCAAATCCACCGATAGGCACATACCAGCCATTAGATAAACATCTATGTGATGTCAGTGTGGAGGGGGAAACTATTTCAACTAACCCTTTTCTCTCTGCTGCATATTACCCAACCCATACAAAGCTTAACAGAGGCTGATTTGTTGCAGTGCACTTTTGTCCTAGCATGGGAGATTCCCGGATTCATATATAATCTCCTGGCTTTCTTCCTCACTATAAGAGGCATTGAAAATATTTGCCAAGCCCTTGGCATAGTTTTGGAAACAAAGAACTAGTAAAACAAGGAGAAGAATGCAGTTGCAAAAGGGAGTTACATTTAGGAAGTGGCGTGTGGGAATTCTCCTGTGGTAGTTTGATCCAGGCATTTGATGGGTATTAATACTGGTCTCTAAAGACAGTGATTAACTTAGACTAGATACACATCTTGCAAGTGGCTTTACTTCGGGAAGATGAGTTACCTCACCGGCTGTTTTGTATTCTAGGTTGTAACTGAGTGTGTTTCCTATTCCTGTCATTCCCCTCTAGCTGCTCCCAGAGATAACCGTAGAAAGAAAGGAGGACAGGGTGAAGCAGAGAAGGAAAGGACAGGTTTTTTTGAGCTACACTTTATTTTCCAGATGAGTCTGTTGAAATCAGGCAGAGATCTAATACTGTACCTATCATCAGGTTTTTCCTTCATGGGAAAAATCACATGGCCTGGGTCATTTGTCAAAGACCTTTCACAGCTGGAAGTTGAAAACAAGAGCATAAGGCCCAAATGTGGAATGCCCAACTCACTAACAACCTTTGTGCTGAGCCAGAACATTTCGTTGGGTGAAACTCCAGACAGCTCTAGTGTCAAAATTAAAGTTTTTTTAAAAGAGGAATTTGAGAAGCTGCCAAGAAGGGATCAACATTTCTTCCTCTGTAACCTTTCAGAGTTTTATTTTAGGAAGGGCTAAGTAAGGACTTGGCATTTATCCCCAAGAGGCATCGTACTTATCCAGTCCCATCCTACTTTCCACGTGCCTGATACATGGGCATTTCTTCCTTTGTAACTTCTCAGTGGTTTACTTCACTAGGTAACTCCAACCTTAAAAAACGAAAGCTTCAGGAAGATGGTTAAAATCAGCATCATGTGCTATTCAGTTCTTTTGATATTTAATATCATGATATGTATAAGAACTGTGCAAATTGAATTAGTCTCAGAAACAGTCTTCTTTAGAGTGGACTAGTATATGTTTACTGAGCCTCCATCTGGTCAGCGGAAAACAGAAAATTCCTTCAAAATGGCTTACCTCCATCCCCATTTTTCTCATTCTATGAGTAAATTTAGAGCTGGCTTCCCGCCAAATCTCCAAAACTCACCAAAAGCTTTTTCCCTCCCTCCCCCAAACAAACAAACAAAAAAACTATAGAAACTGAGAGAAATTTAAACCAATCGAATTATATCAATGTATATATGTATTTTTTACATATATACACTTACAGTTATATACAGTAAGAATATTATGTACAGCTCCCAAAAAGGGGAAGAGAGGAAGGGAATATGGGAAAAAAGGGACAAAAAGGGACAAAAAGGGAGAAAACAAAACAGATATGCACAATCGAAAAACTCAGAGACTAGCAGAATAAAGAATTAGCAAAAGAATATCTTACTAATCTCCTTGGGGCAGCAGAAATCGTGCTGAAGGACCACCGGCACCCTCCACCTCCCAGGGTCTACCAGGCCTCACTAGGCTCACTCCCCCACACAGCAGAACCAACAGCAGGGAACCTGTGCCTTCAGAACCACCGGAAGGGAAGAGGGTGAGATCTCTTATCTGCGCCTTATTTATATGTTGTGTTATGCTAAAGGATGATATGGAATACTTCCTTAGATTTCTCACCCCCATTGCTAAGGAAGGCCTAAAAAATCCAAAAGCCAACCCACTACATTCTATCATGAGCTCCTTCCTTCAGATGATGGAGCAGATGGAGGACAATTAAGGGAGGAGCAGTTGGTAAGAAAAATGAACAACAGTTAATTGGAAAACCCAGTTAGACTATCTGGCTGAATACCCACTTAAATACCTTTTTTCCTGTGTATTTTGGGGGTCACAGACACAAAGAAGGCATTACTGTGAAAAAGTGAAGATTCTGTGTCTAATACTTGAGCAAAATGGATTGGGGAAATATTTAGGCTTGCCCAGATAAGTGCAACAATTTGCTGTAGCTTCAGAATCAAACTTGAACAATCCTTAAGCATGACACAGTAAGAAAACTGCATCACAGCCCTGATACTTTTTTCGTTTGCATTGATAAAATGTACAAGACATGTACCTCATCTCTGGCAACATGTCTTCTCTTCCCCCTTATTAATACAATGTCTTGTTACTGCAACCCTCTAATGATCAGCTATCAGCAAACATCTTTCAGAGCCACTGCAAAATGTATCTGTACATTTGCCCCGCAGAGAGTGCAGAGGGTCAGGATTCTTTAGGATATGGTGTGGAATGGCACTGCTTTCGTTGCTGGCTGTTAGTCGTCTTAGATGCTACCTAGTCCTAGCTAGCTGGAAAGCTAGCTTAACTGCTAGGTGTAGTAAGTGGGAATTTTGACACAGCCTTCAACAGAGCCAACATCTCAGATCAGCTGCAAACATAGATGCTGCAGCATGTTAAGTATTTGTTCTTTCCACTTGAGAATTGAGAATATTTCATACCTGATAACAGCAAAGCATCTTTGATGTGTCACACTTTTAAAAAGACCCACGTACCTGAAAATCCTGTAGTCAGTTTGGCACTTGTTCTCGCAGAATCATAGAATTGTTAGGATTGGAAGAGCCCTCTGGAGATCATCTAGTCCAACATCCCTGCCAAAGCAGGGTCACCCAGAGCAGGTGACACAGGAACTCATCCAGGTAGGTTTTGAATGTCTCCAGAGAGGGAGACTCCATGACCTCCCTTGTCAGCTTGTTCCAGTGCTCTGCCATCCTCAATGTAAAGAACTTCATGTTGAGGTTAAACTTCTTTTGGTTTACTTTATGATCATTGCCCCCTGTTCTGTCCCTGGGCACCACTGGCTGGCTCCATATTCTTGGCACCTGCCTTTGAGACAATGATATGCATTAATGAGATCTCCTCTCCATCTTCTCTTCTCTTGACAGAACAGGTGCAGCTCCCATAGTCTCTCCTCATAAGAGAGATGCTCCAGACATCTCATCATCTTTGTAGCCCTCCACTGGACCGTCTCCAGTAGCTCCTTATTTTTCTTGTGATAAGATAAAGAGTACTGGACAAAATACTCCTAGTGTGGCCTCACTAGTGCTGAGTAATTCTCATTCTCCACCTGGCTCTGAAGAGACAACATCCATTCAGACACGTTTAATGACCAGTAGGGAACCCCAATAATATGTAAAATAGGCTATCACCGTGAGTCCTCCACCTTCTTTCTAATGCTGTCTCCTAGGATACAGCAATGTCTCCAGTTCCCCCCATGCTCTGCATCTCTGCTCCATCTTTATTACTACTGAGATGTTTTGGATTTCTCCATGGAGGCATTTAATAGAATTTATTGTTAGCTACAAACTCTGCAAATCCAGTCCCTGGAAGATAAGCCAATGCAATATGCTGGCTTCAAAGCTGGCAGGATCAAACTAAGCAGGATCATTTGGTGGGATTTCTGCCCATAAGGGAGCTGAATGCCAGGTCATGCAGGATTACCAAGGGGAAGTAATTTGTCTTGTATTGCAAAGCAAGTGTGACTTTGACTGAGGTCTCCCTTAGTCTTTGAATCACCCAAGGTGAGGATGGGGTTAAAAGAAAGGATTCCTAAATGCAACTCTGTTCCAAAAAGGTTAGGGATGAAACTAAAAGCAATGATGTACTGTTATTAAAATAGCACCTAGAGCTGAATGCCAAGAGCCTCTCTAAACACACAGAAACGATTCCTGCACCAAAGAATTTTCAGTATGAACAGACAAGACAAAGACAGTACTGTTGTTCTCATTTTGCAAACACTGAACCTAGACACAGAGACTAAGTCACCACAGCACAGTGATTAGGTCACTTGCCAAGGTCATATGAGGGCTCTTTGCTAAAGCCAGGACCTGAATCTATTTGTATGTCTGAAACATAGTCCTATGCTTCAGAAAAGCAGTCCCCTTAGTCTTCCCAATTTTCCAGAATTGTATTGGTCCAGCTTTGATTTTCAGAAGGAAAAGTCAAAGATACTTTATCTCTGCACCCAATCCCCAGCAGCAATGAAGTTTGAATGCAGGAAGAATATGTTTCCGTAAACCAAGCCATGTTCTTTATAGGCTTAGGCTCACATCTTAAAGAACCTCTTATTCAGTCAGAATGTTGCCACCTTGCCCACTGTTACATGCACAAAAAATCCCAGCAACAGGTCATCTAATACTTGCTTGTTGTGTAAAAATACCCTTTTTTATTGCTTGCAAAACAGTGGGAAGGAATCCTATGTAACCACACTATTGGGCACCTGGCCCGGCAAAAAACTTTTGAAGTAATTTATTCCAACAATTTTATAAAGATAATTTTAATAAATGTCTTACTTCAAAACAAAACCCAATCCAGCTCTTTATAGTCAACATCTCTGTTCTGAAGTCCAAAGCAATGAAGAGGAGATTTCAAAGGTCGAAATGCCAGTATTTAATTCTCACTTACTTTCAAGGACTTTAGGGACTTGATGACTCTTTGTGCCTCTCCAAATCTTTAGACATTCTCAGTCTTACATCTATAATGCTATTGGGCTCTTAGGTATTACTGAGAAGTCTTTCACTTCAAACTCAAACTGAGATATTTTATGTGCATGCTACAATAAGACATTTCTGTTGTTCTGAAACAGATTGCTTATCTCTTCTGGCTGATACTGTCTTCTCCCCTAAGCATTTTACAGGAAATGAATGGGGATCAGAGAGATGTCACTCTCTTCCCCACCTGCATTGCTTGCTTAAGAAGCAAAACCATTTTATTTGTAACAGGCTTGACAACTCACGGAAGTCATTTCTGATGAGACTTGTATGTCTTCCTGGCATGTCATTTGTTACTATAGAGATGACAAACCCATTTTTATTACCATATGTTACAAGCGGAATTTCAGGTGAAGTTTAGACCACTACCTCCTTTGCCACCATCTCCTTACTTAGAGGTCAAACTTATTGGTTAGGTTATTTCCTATTAAAATTGATAGCTCTTTTCTGATTATTCAAGCTAGCAGGAGTAGCAAAAGATTTCTGCTTTTTTTCTGGCACTCACCCATGCCTTTAGATAGAGCTACACTACCTTTCTCAGGGATTCTGTACCTCTGGTTAATGGAAACATTCCCTGAAAACCACTTATTTCTGCCAGAGACTCTGCCCATCGAAAATACAGAATTTCAACTGATTCTGATGATGTAGAAGCAAAATCCCTTTTGCCACAAGGTCTGAGCCCCAGTGCTGAATTCACCACTTAAATTCCATAGAAAGATGAAAATAGGAAGTAGGAAATTATTTTTGGAACTACCCCACTGCCGTTACAGATATACTGTATTAAGTTCATGTCACATTTTAAAAAATACCAAATCCATAGTTAATTAATCATGTATTTCTCATTAATCATCCTATGGATCAGTACATGGATCAGTGATTTCCAGCATGAGAGAGAAAGAGTCTGCAAGGAAGCCTAGCTTACCAGAAGGAAGTTCAAAGTACAGCTTACCAGCATAATAACTGATGTTCTGGCATCTTCAAAAATACCACACAAAAAACCTGGACCCCTCAAAACCCCAAAACAAAACAGCACACACTTGTTTTCTCACTAAGTAATTTTAGTTTTACACACTTGTTTTCTCACTAAGTAATTTTAGTTCTACACTACACAGCTAATGCTGCTTTAAAAAATATAGCATTTCATTATTGATTCATATAGATGTTCAATAAAAACAGAAGGATTTTATTCCCTTTGAAGAATGCTAACAGAATCCTAACCTGTGAATCAAAATAGCAGATAAGCTGGTCCGTATTGATAAATCAATTATTTCTATCATTCTTTTTTATTTTTAATGAAAAACTCATTAAGTCAGTGGGTAAGCTATTCTGAGGAAGAATAATCAGAAGATAATCATGCCAGATTTGAATAATTTTACCACAGCTCTTCCACTTTAGTGGAAGTGATCTGAAGGATGGGATTTGAACTTCATTATGAACTGATTATAAATATAATTCAGATGGAAGAGAAAGTAATTTGAAGAATTTTTATCCTGGTAATGAGTTCCCTTTGAAGCTTGTGAGCTGGTTGTTGGACAAATTTGCAAACAATTATTGCTTGTCTACAAGGAACTAGGACACTGAAGAAGTTTCGGGTTTTATTAATTAAATTAGCATTTAAGTAGAGAATGAAGAACTCTGCATAGAATTTCTCTTTTATCCTATTAAGTATGTCTTCCGCTGCTCTAATGGCTGAAAGTTTTTAATGACCCCATCACTGAGCTGAGACCATGTCCTTTTTTTTCAAGCTACAACTTGGCCTAATAAAAGAGAGGCTTTTCTCTCTTGCATCCATTACGTATCTTAGATACTCAAAGCAGCTTCATCAGTATTACTTGGAGAACCTGCTCATGCAGCATATGCTCACCCAATGCTTCACAAGGGCTGTCATTACAGGTTGTGTTACCAGCACTATTCAGCTTCCTCAAAAGATACAAAAAACTGGCCTGATAGGTGGTGCATCATGATCACTAGGAAGCAGTGGCTACATAGCATATGTGCAATATCAGATTCATTCTTATTACCACCTGCTCAGCTCATTTACCTCATGCAGTTTTGTAGCACCTTCTACCAGGAGCAGGGATGGTGGTGCAAGCACATCTCTCTACAGAATGAGCCACTGCAGGCTCTGAGTATCCATCTTGA